AGAGAGAGAGAGAGAGAGAGAGAGAGAGAGAGAGAGAGAGAGAGAGAGAGAGAGAGAGAGAGAGAGAGAGTAATGCATTATGTGATTATCTGCGGCGGCAATTGTTGTCCATTATACTCCATATGTCATTCTTCTTCATTATTCTTATGACAGTTCTTGTTTTCTGTTTGCTGGCTGGCTTCCTTGTTGCAGTATTCTTGGTCAGGCGACACAGTGCCCAAGACATCTTATTCAGAGCGGTTCATGTCTATGGAACCTTGCACACCTTGTTAAGTGTCATCTCATTGGGTTACACCACCTCCCATTCTCTACAACCAAGTTGACTCTTGCCTTAGAAAGACTACAGACGGATGCCGATTTCTCAGTAGAAAATTTGAAATCCAATACCTTTAAAGTTTAAAGTTTAAAACGGATGTGTGTGGAGCGCTGTACCTGCCTGGTGGCTCGCTGCATACAAAAGGTACAACCGATAATAACTTATTAATAAGAGCAGGTCATGTGTTCGAGACTTCGAGTTCTGTTGGACATGGGTCAACCCCTCTCTGGGTTAAGGAATCAATTTCTTGAACAATTGCGGAGCTTCCCATAAGGAGAACCTTGGCTGAGGGAAAACTCAAGTACTGGACCGTCAAGTCTACAGTAAGATTACGGAAGCTGAAACGAACTTTCAGAGAATGTTCTTGACTATTGCATGGATCCCAGTCCTCGCCGAGAAGTTGATACTGAAGCTCAGCCTTTTTTTTTTTTTTTTTTTTTTTCATTCGGCGAGAGTTGCACATACTCTGAGAGAATTGAAAGAAATCGTGAATGATGCGCAAGATGATTTAATGTTCGTCTGATTTCAAAGATGGGACAAAAAAAGGGACAAAAAATGGGACAAATGTCAAATGCAGTGATGGAAGCAGCTGTAGAACTCTGCGCCAATGTGCGGAAAAGGCGAAAGGGACTATGCAGGTGATAGGAGGAGCTGAAATGAAGTTACCTATGCTCGCCCACGCCACTTACATAATGCCTCGAATGAATTTGCCTGTGCTTGCTGACATGGCCGTCAATTTTTCCATCCACGAACCAACGGCTGTGACTTTTGGCCTTAAACCGCCGGTACACCCAGTCCTGGAGGCACTGCACTGCGTGCCAAAGCATTTCCGACATGCCAGTGGTGCACTTATTTTCTTTTCTCGATGCTGCTGCCAGCCATTGTGGTCCAGTAGTCCTGAGCCCCCGAAAAGACTTGTATTTACAAAAAAAAAAAAAAAAAAAAGAGCCCCGAAAAGACTGGAGTTAGCAACGCCCCATTTTCTTCAAGGCTGGGGCCGTGCAGTGGCGGTTTGAACTTTAAACTTAATCCACCACTACATGCCTCAGGCAAATGTTGTAGCTGTAAAAGTATAGCCCACGAAATTCGGGGGTTCAGGGCCAGCGGACCACAATGGCTGGGGCCGCCAGCTAAGAAGAAGAAAAGGGCGCCCACACCGGTTGTTTGGGAGGCTCGTAAAAATCAGCCCTGGACGTAGAGGGGGTCGTCTGATCGACCACAAATTGCAGCTGTTGTCAGTACCCAAAAGCGCGATGGCTGAGATTTTAACTTCATCACATTTGCAATGACTTGCTGGTTCCAGGTTGCTTGTAGCCTCTCTCTGACGAGGCTGTATCCTAGGTAGGGATAGATTCGTAATTTTGTTTGGCTGAGGGCTAACTGAGAGACCTACCTGTAAGGAAAATTCGTGAGGGACATATTTGTAAATATAGGAGATATGGGCCCGGTACTAACTCGAATTTCCTACAGCTACCCTAACTGTGAATAGCAGACCCGGGCTACCCCTAGGACAGACAGGCCCAATGGGCCTACGCTGATAGACGGTCCTATAGCCTAGAAACGGTGCCAGTCGGTCAGTCAGTCCGGTCTAGGTCGTGTCTAGGCTAGTATAGGGTATAGATAGGATGGGGACATCGGTCCTGGGCTTTTGGCAGTTGACACTTCGTGGTGGAAATTGCTGCGCACACGGTATCAGGTCGTGGTTGCTGATTCCAGTGTGGGAGACGGCGGACATAGCCAGACCTTCGGAGCGCTGACCAGACTGGGTTCAATGCTGTCCACTCTGACTCTCTGGGAGACAAAGCGGTCTGGGCTATTAGAGGTCTGTTGCGTTGGAGCACGTGTGCACTGCTGGCGATGCAGCCATAGCTGCATCTTCTCAGAGATTATCATCGTCTGGACTTCATCTTCATCAGGGACTTTTGGCGCTGAGCTTCTTCCTCATCATCTGAGTGGCGATTGGCTCTGGGAGCCTGTTTCATCTTGGCGCAGGCCACTGAGTTGGATGTCAGGGTGGCGCTGGGTGTTACCTGGGGTTCTGGTGCTATTTTTAGCTGTTTGGTGTGTGTGGGGTTGAGGCGCTACCCCTCTGAGGGTAGCGCAACAGGGTTCTGAGATTATTCAGGGAAAAACGATGCCCTGAGTTTAATAAACAGTGGTAATACTGTGTTTGAGTTGTCATTTCTTCATTGATTTCTGGCTGTGATCACTCGGTTGTCTTCTATGAATGATTGCTGGGACCTGTGTGGAGAGAATTCACAGTTTTGTATGTTCTGTCACTTCGCTTCCCTGAGTCTTCCGTGGTGTTCTTTCTGTTGGGCGGTGTGACACTCCACTACCTCTCCCCTTCCTTCTGTGCATGTATGGGCGTGTATGGGAGTTCCTGTGAGTGAGCGTTGATAAAATTTCAGCGGACAATCATGTTCATACCACATTAGCCATTTGGGTGATAAAATGTCGACATGGGTGAAGACTGTGATGAACATGCACTCATTCGCGGCAATGATCAGCTGTCTCATACAGACGAGTGGCTTAAAGTTCACGTTTGAAACTTTGAACTGGTTTGACAGATTTACTTCTGTAGGGACTCGTCTATGCGCTACTTCCATGTGTGTGTGTGTGTGTGTGTGTGTGTGTGTGTGTGTGTGTGTGTGTGTGTGTGAGAGAGAGAGAGAGAGAGA